GTTATAAACTATAATCTAATTATTCACATCTGGAGTAACCAGCCACCTCTTCGTCTTTCTTGTCTTCAACGTCGTACAATTTGAATAATAATTTAACACGTGAAAGCAATGTTTTAATTCATAAATGAGATCTAATATATTAGAACTTAAATCTTAAGTTTTCTGAGATGAATTTGAAAATAACGATCAAACCTTACAATTGAGAAACTTTTGTCTATCATGAAAGGGTATGTCATATGCAGTAGAAGATTCTTCGAAGAAATAGTATTGCCAGTTTCCGGACGAGTATGCTGCAAATGTGGATTTGTAGATGCAATATTGCAAGTGGTCTTAATCTCTCGTGATAGGGATAAGAGCAAAATATAGGGAATAGAAAGATTTGCTCAACCTCATTTGATGTGGCAGGCATAATGGCCATTGATTTTAGAAGTAAGCTTGATATATATCCTTGGTTGCACCAATGATGATATCTCCCTAGGTGGAAGGAATATGGACAGTGATGAGATGGATATTTTTAAAATCAATGGTGTAGATTGTTGTCACATGAAAGAGTGTAAAACTTGTTGTCAACCTTGATACACATATAACATGATTGTTGATTTTAATTACATTCATTCAAACCAATGGTCGAATTTCTTACATATATGGGGTGTCAAACTTAATGTACAAAAATTCTTATTCTGTTGGGTCATATCTGCCCACAATTTGTGATTGATGGGGAATCTGATTTTGAATATTCTTGCCTCGTGTAATTTCACGATGTTAATTCTTAGAATGTGCCAGAGACATTTGGTTACCTAGTCGTATAATGTAAGATAATGACAATAAAAAGCAAATTACAAAGTCACAAACACTACTGGTGCAAGAATTGAAATAACAAAAATGGAATTTATTATTTGATGTCACTTGATATAGCAAAAGTTACATTTCGTCAATCTCTTTTATTGAAATTTTGTAGGCAAAATATGCATTTTCTGCAAAACAGGTCTGAAATCTTCAATTCTTGGCATTCTCATCCCCATTCTTCAATGTAAATACAATCCGTTCTTCCCTGTTACGATCTTGTATACACACAGATGCTTTATTATGTTGTGGTTATTCCTTTTCGTATAATGTAGCAGACGTCGTCATTCATCATCAAAACCTCTTCATTTTTTTCCTTCTACCATTGCAGTCTGTCTTTCCTGTTGCTTAAAGATAAAAGGTCTGGTCTAGATAAAAGGTCTGTAGACCAGACCACATTGTATTATTTTGAATCGTGTTGAAGACACGCTCTTCAAATGTAAATGGAACCCATATTTTGTTCAATACTCTAGGCAAGGTTTGCGTTTGTGGCAAAAGTCTTCATTTAACTTGATCTCAATGTGTATATACACAATGTATCCCCCAACTACAATCTGTGTATATTGTGCTTTCTTGGTAAACTTTTAAGTGTTTATAAGTAGTCGGTATGAATATGTTGTTAAAAAGTAAAAAAAAAAAAAAAATTGTGTGTTCTAATGTGTGGTTATGATTAATGTTTGACTTATTTATGAGCATGAAAAATCTTCGTCAAACATTTAATCGATGCTTAATTATGTTGTGGGGATTCATTTCCGAATAATAGAAGTCAACATTATTAAAGCCTCTTCATGTTTTCTTTCTACCATTCCAATATTTTTACATTTTTTCATGAAGATAAAAGATCACTGTATTATTTTGAATTATGTCTTAGACACACTCTTCAAGTGTAAATCTAACTTATATGTTGTTGAACACTTTGACATGTGCACAATTTTCATGCTAATCATCTTATCTCGAAGTTTAAGCTGAAATTAAAAAGGTTCCCGTTCACAATAACTAACTCGGTTATCGACCTTGAAAAATGTCACAGTGATTTATATAATGTTCAGCATCAATCAGCAAATTACATATATATAGGAATTACAGAGTAGGAGCTCTTTCAGCAGTTCCGGCAATAACAGTGAGCAAGTTGTTGCCAAAAGGATCGCTCAAGTGTGCTGCAAGGTTTTCAACAGGACCCTTTCCGGTCACGTATGCCTGGATGAAGAAGCCAAGCATAGAGAACATGGCTAGTCGACCATTCTTGATCTCCTTCACCTTCAATAATGCAGCCTGGTCGGGATCCTTAGCAAGACCCAGTGGATCAAATGGACCACCTGGATGGAGTTTGTCCTCCAGATCCTACACAATTCAAATCCCAGTTCGAAAAATATTTGATTATGATTATGTTAGCCAATTCCAAGGTAAATCACATTAAAAAATGTTGGAACATACCAAGCCGTTAATAATTCTGTAATACTCTGCACCTCCAACAAGTACAATCTCAGCAACCACAGCAAGGATGAGGTTAATGGGAATGTTCTTTCCGAAGTAATTCAATGTATTCCCATCAAGGAGTAGGGCTCCAGTCTGTATGAATAGAAAAATATAATCACGATGCAGAAGAAGAAGATAATGATGAAAAAGAAAAGGTCCAAGGAGTCAATAAATAATAGGTACCTTGAACCAAACAGCTTCAGGGCCACAGTTAGCTCCAAATTTGTTGAATGCTTCTGGGATGATAAATCCAGCGGCACCAAGCATAGCCCATCTAGCATGAATCAGCTCATATGCTTGATATCTGGATCAAAACACAATTAATTTCACTCCAAACATGTACTTAATTTACCTAGAGATAATTAGGTAATTGATTCACTTACTTTTCGAAGTTCTCAGGTTTCTTGCTGAGGCCAAAGGGATCATAACCATAGCTGCATATTGACAAAAGGCCAAACATATTAATGTTCTTAAGTTGAGTCATGATTCGTCTGTTTCTTTTATAGCAAGAACTAGAAAACTCACTCTCCGGGAACTTCTCCGGTGAGGTACTCTGGGATTTCTGATCTATCCAAAAGGCCCTCGGGCAAGAAAATTCTTCTGTCAGGTCCTGAAACCAAAGTAGGTAAATTTGAAGTTGAAAATTGAAATATGAAATTAACATCCATGAAGCAATATCAAGTGAAGCTGGATGCTTACCATACCACTTTGCGAGCTCCTCATTAATAGGTGACACAGCAGCAGACTTAGCCTTTTGAGGTGGTGCAGACTTCTTGGAGAAAAGTGCCACTGTTTTGAAAGTGGTGGCGGGGCGTGTAGGACTAGGAGCAGACCTGGAAGCCACAGTGAAGTTAAGGGGGTTACCCAGCATTTCAGAAACACCAAGAGAAGCCATTGTTGATTTCTTTCAGCTGTGCCAGTGTGGGATGAGAATTGAGAAGAAGGGAGGTTGAAATACACCAAAAGCTTGAATCCGTGGTTGTAGACATGCCAAGTCAGCTCCTTATTCATTGGTCTCAACATAAGATTCGTAATATCATGCTGTGCTTTGATTGGTTGCTCTTGATGACGTGGCAGATGATGGTGCTTGGATATGGATAACATGCCCGGCATGTATAGTAATAGTATATACACAGTTCATCCATACCAAGAAAAGGAAGAGCTGTATTCATGAACCTTAGCATTATTTCTTGTAACCTACTCAAACTATTAACCACTGGAATATCTCCTCCCCTCTCTGACTTTCTATGATTGGCTTTTTACCAAATTCAACCAACAAATCAATCTATTGAAACATGAAACATAGTCAATAATTGTTGAGAAATATCTAGTATGTAGACGTATCACATGCAAGTAACAAAGTGATGATAGAGTATTTAATCTATGACGATTCGTTATCTACTTATTTTACTTTCATTAGAACTAGCTCTTATTTGAAAAACATGCAATTAAAACTTTTAATAGTTCTTTTTGGAATCTTTGAGGTTTACCATTTATTATGCTCATGTTTGGTCCGTATTAAAATCAGATTTTAATTCAAGTTAAAATCAAATAATAAATAATCACATCTTTCATAGTCCCACAATTTTTCAATCATATATTTCAAAAACTACTATCAAAATCTAATTTTAATATCTACCAAGTCAGAAAATCTATTTTGAAGTATCAACTACAATGCATATCATGCTCATCATCTTTCAACTTTGGAGCATCCTAAATCGAGAATCTTGCAAGATTTAATGTGGTAGGATAAAAATTTATGTTGCCCACCTCTGGAAATTCAACACGTTGATTTTCTTCAATTTTTCTCTATGATTAATACGAATTGGTCATCACATTTTGGGTTACAACAAGATTTGAAAATTGATTAGCAGTATAATTTCCAGTATACACAACAATAGGGCTAGTCCGGTTTCCCTAGCCACAACAACATGAGTTGATTCGGTTACTATCTCTGAAACGTCAAATGAAATATTAATTTCTTAAAACTTTCGTCACTTGTTCGACATTTATAATCTTTTTTGAGATTGTTATCCTATCCATAATACACACATGTATAACTAAATAGAAAAGGAATTATTAACATAAACAAAATTGCAGAATAATAAATTATTAATAGAGATAGAATTAGCCGATCGAAGCCTGTGAAAACAAAGTAAACTTAAAACATATTCGTCCCTCTCAGAAAGTGGATGAGGTTTATTTCAATTTTTTGTTTTTTTAAAGATACAATGGTAGATTCAGTATCAAGTTGAGCATCAAGCTTCTACTTCGACGAACTATAAATTTGTACGAGCACTATCACAAAGCTTCAATTTATGTCCTTTGAGTTTCAATTTTTCATTGACTCGAGTATCATTTAGTGCATATGAATATACGGTATCAATGCTCTCATGGATAACACAAATTTACTTTTATATTCCACAATCAAGAAGTATGCTAAAAATCAACCATTTCCCAACAATATTGTGTGGTGGACCGTTTTCCAAACTAATGGTAAGAATTAAGTGAAAGCAACCTTTGGAGACTTGTGGTGTGAGAATGGATAATAAATAATAATGAGACTACAAGACACAGAGACCAATCTCTAAGATTTCGTCAAACTCGCAATCCATAAATCACAATACCATTTGTAGTTGGCTTGTTGCTATATTGGTTCAATTAATTTCTTAAATTCGAAAATGGCTACCTGTGTTAGTGGCAATGCTAATGTCTTAATAGCCTATGCTCCTAGGATTAATAGTAGTTATAAAATCGCACCCAAATATTTGGTTGTCGGTTCATTATCCAAATCACCAGCAAAAAGTATAAGCATCAGAAGAAGAGGGTTTTCGGGTGCAAAAATAAGAGCCGAAAGCGAGAGCATAATCATGGAGAAATCTGGTATCAAAGTCGTCAATAACCCTCCTGAATCCAAGCTCTCTGAGCTCGGCGTCCGATCTTGGCCCAAGTAACTGTCTTCTCTTTCTCTCTCTCTCTCTCTACTTTTCTCCTATGCTTTTTTACTGTGGATCTTCTTATTTATCAAATTGAAAGGCGTATAATAAGATTTTATGGCATTCTTTTATGAATTTCTAACACTCCAATTATATATACAATATGATATTTATTGAATTAATTGTGATCTTCTATTGCATCACGAGTGCCGTGGAGGCCTCTTGTTCTTGCTATTGGTGTGTGTTGGCTCTTTTTTTTTCCCCCTTCAATTGGTAAAGGTACTTTGATGTCATACACAACATGGTGCAGCGGAATATCCCAATTCCGGGACAAGTATAAGGGAAACACCAAGCTATCTGAATTCCAGTGTTCGGCAACTGAACAAATTAATAAAGATCGAAGAGGCAGGCATGAGCTCTCTAGCCGTCAAATTCTGCTTAAACGTTCATTCCCCTCACTTGCAGTCTTTTGTATGAAATAAACCCTACCTGAGTTAATTACTAACTAAAGCAAGACATTATTAAAAACCAGCTACCAAGGAATTGGAAGGCAGAAAGTTCGGTCCTTGTTGTGCTGCTAGTTGCTGGTGCATCAGATTGTCTTCCGTCTAGTTTGTCCTCCGATGCCTCTTCATCGCAGCACAATGAGAGCTTAGGCTTTTATGTTTTTTGGAGAGAGACCAAGATGTGTATATGTATAGAATGGTACAGGGTGGACTATCCCATAAGGGATCCTGGAAAGTAATGCCAAAGCGAATAGTTCTTGGGTGGATTCCCAAGCTTGATTGTGTCTGTCCAACTATCTTACGGATTTTGGAAATATTTGTTGAGTTGCTTTGCATCAAATGGTATCTACTATTTAAGATTTAATAACTCATCAAGTAACCTTCCTACTCGAAGTTGTTTTGAGCAACCTATCAGTTACAATCCATTAACAAAGACACTTCATCAACTCTGTGTATCCAAACACAATAGCTTAATGGTTGGAAATAAACTGTTTGTCTTATAATTGTGTACATAACAGAAGTCAAGAGTACAATGTAAAACCAGAAATATAATAACCCCTTCATCGACAAGAGTACAACTGAAGGTTGGGTCTGGATTACCATTTATATCGTTCTTCTGGTAAAGAAATTTGAGGTTGCAGGTATGACTGGCAATGATTCTCTGAATATAGTTGTAGCTTTCATAGGAAATCAGTAGATTAAACAAAATTTATGTGTAATATTGGAAATTTTTGAGATCTGACATTTGGGGCTAAAATTGACTGTAGTTGAGATATTTCACAAATTAGAGGTAGCTGTTCAAACTAACAGCTACCTCTAATTTGTGAAATTTGAACATCTCTAGAAGCCAATATAGTTTCACTTAGCTGTTTGTGTTGCAATTTCTGTGTTTTTAATACATGGATATTAGATACTGAACTATTTTGATGCATGTTTATGGTGACATTAATGTAGGTGGGGATGTCCTCCAAGCAAATTCCCATGGACTTACTCGTCAAAAGAAACATGCTTCTTGTTGAAGGGAAAGGTGAAGGTTTACCCTGATGGATCTGATGAGGCAGTCGAGTTTGGTGCTGGTGACTTAGTGGAGTTTCCCAAGGGAATGAGCTGTACTTGGGATGTGTCGGAAGCTGTGGACAAGCATTATATGTTTGAATGAAATCATCCTCCAGGCCTTTAATGATTAGGGTAAAATGTATTGCAGTGATAAAACTTGACTGTTCACCGGTTATTGTGCACTAGCAATCAACTTCTTAGTAGAATAGATTGCTTGAAAGCTCGAGTGTGTAGCTTAATCCCTACTATCTTAAAAGAGGCAATTATTCGTTTACTGTTCATTTGTGAAGTTTTTTTTTTTAATCCCATTTTATCCATATCCATTCTCCACTATTCATCCAAGATTTAAGGGTAATGTGGAATTCCTTCTATATATACCCACAATTGTTGACTTTGAATCTATTCTNCTTGGGCAATTCATCGTTTACTGTTCATTTGTGAAGCTTTTTTTTTCCAGAGGAAATTCACCGTTTACTTGATTAGTGTTAAAAATAAGTATTTGTAAATTTGGTTAAAGTTATTTTTAAATGTATTGTACACTTTTAAAATATACAAGATAAAAATGATTTTGTTTTGTTATGAGTTTATCATAGATTATTGTTACTATTGTAAAAAAAAAATAATAATAAATAATTTTAAAAAAAATTCCGCAGAGTGCGGAGTGTGGTGTCCTCGCTGCGCCAGTGCTAACAATAATTTACGATAAACCATAGCAAAACAAAATCATTTCTATCTTCAAAATACAAATTCTTTTGTAGCGATAGCCTTATTTTGCCAGATAGAAGGATGTTTTTCATGTTTTCTCATAACCTCATTTTCATTAGCTCTCATATCATATTACTCAACACTGTTACAGGAATCACTTTTCCTTTCTTTTTCCTTTCATTACTATTTATTAAGAGAATAACTTTTGCTTTCTTTTTCCTTTCATTACTATATTAATGGTGAACTTGGTTGAGTTTAGATGGTGGTTCCCTATTTTCAAACTAAATTGTTGAAAACATTTTGAATTTTTTCAAATTAAACAAAACCATTTTTCACATTTCGATTTGATTTTATTTCACGCCACAGTTTACTTATTGAAACAAAAATAACACTTGTCGAACAAGTTAAAATCTAAATATTTTGTGTTAAAAAATCTTTTTCAAAATGATATTTGCTCTCCCTCTCCTTCTTGGCTGATTGTGATTCTCATGACAAAAACTTGCAAAGAAATGATACGGTTTTTCTCCCTCGACAACTCCGACGTGAGAATTAGTAGGAGAAATGATAGGGTTTTTCATTTAAATCTTATTAGGATATTATCATTATGAAATTTTAATAATTATTATGTTAGATAAAAATTTACTGAACTTTTACAATAATTTAGGCCATGTTCTCTTTGTCGTTTTCCAGCCGTTTTGTGTTTTTAATTTCTCAAAACAGCGAAAACGCGTTCTCTATTTTATTTTCAAAAACGCGAAAAATGAAGAAAAAAATATAACTGAAAACGGAAAACAACGAAAACATTGTTTTGTAAAATTTTAGGAAAAACAAGGTAAAAATTCAAAACACGCGAAACGGCCCAAATCCCTCA